AAGAGGGACAATAGAAACGACTAACTAGGAGAGCTAGAGAACATACCGGGGAACAAACCTCTAAATGAGAATAGGACTTCAAACCAATTAATTAAGATCAATAAAACTGATAACCAACTATGAATTACGAGCAAGCTGTTACTAAGAAATCTGTGGGACGGTGAGACACGTGTGGAGCATCTCGCTTTCTTTACTCCTTTGTCAGCTTTTGCATTGTTTTTCTATACCTTTTTTACTTTGCGAAATTTCATCCTCTCAACCACTCATACGTCGCCACGTTGCACTAATATATGTGTGATGACGTATCATTCTCAACACGTGGGCCCCACTCCGTGGTCCAATTTAAAGAAATATATTATTTACTTTTTAAATTTATATTCCATTATTTTACTTTTATTTAATATTTCCAAAACTACTTGTACCACCCAGTTCGCAGTCAACAACTTTTTTAACTTAAAAATTAGGTTATAATATAATTCAACTCTATCTTGCTTTTAAAATTATTATGATATTTAATTATTTTTTATACTTGTAACAGATCATAATTACGAATAAAAATTTGATATTTAAGTTTTATGATAACTAAGTAAAGATAAATATATAAATATATATATATTTTAAATAATAATAATAATAATAATAACAACTCAACACTCTATTTAGATTTGTCCCAAAGATATCCTTATACGCTTCTTCCATTTTTTAGTGCAATAATTACGAAAAAAAATTGAACTTATGATATTAAAAATTGAGCGTATGTCAATTGCACTACGCTAAACTCTTTGAATTTCCTTTCATTTGATTAAATTAATTTACGAACAAAATAAAAATATTCTAATTAAGTTTAAACTAAATCTAGGCTACGTTGCAAAATCAAAAGTTATCGTGTTAAGCGTGGTGCGATCTAGACCGTAGGATTGGGAAGCTGGTTGACTGGGACCCACGGGAAGGCGACATTTGGTAATCAATGGTCAGGAAGCTGAGATTAGGAATTTGAGGTAGATCTAACGATCTAGATGGGAGAAGGAGCATCATCGTAATTTCCACGTCCAATTTGAAGACCAAAACGACATCGAATAATATATCTCAAGTTGGTATGATATTATCTACTTTGAGTATAAGCTCTTATGGCTTTGCTTTAGGCTTCTCCAAGAAATCTCGTACCAATGGAGAGAGTATTATTTGTTTATAAACTCATAATCATTCCCTAAATTAGCCGACGTGGAACTTTCATCATCTAACATATGCATCTTAGGAATGAGTACATGTTAACTAAATAATTAGATATATTTACATAATTTTGTCTTTTACCAATTGATTTGTGACCTTTCCCATTAATGAATAAATATTAATTAAAATATTATTAGCTTGACTGTTTTAGACCCCACAAGTATATGCTTTACGAGGTTGATATAAAACTAGGTTTTTAATTTTGATTAATGAAAATTAAAAGGTGCAATTGTAACAAATCAGAATAGTTTAATTTTTATCCTTTACCTGAAACCATATATATACATATATATTGAACAATTCTAAAATTAACACTATAGTTTAGATTTAATTTCACCAATTTTTCCAAGCTAAATTACGCTTCATACCATAATAATAACAATAATAATAAAAAAACAATAAAGTTGGTGGAAAAAAAGTTAATTAATAAAAAATAAAAAAAAAACTAAAATTCAAACACAATCATATAAACATTGAATATTGAATATTTGCCTTAAAATACTAAAACTTTTGTTTTAAGCAAAATTCAAACGTCAACCAACCAATTTCCGTCTCTTTAATTCAAATCCTCAGTCCCGCCTTAATTAATTAAAAAAACAAAAAAAAGAGACATTCAATCATTATGCACTGCTCATGTTAGGGAGAGAATGCCGCTTTAAAAAAACATATTTCAATTTCTTTCTTTTTCTTTTTTATTTATTTATTTTATTTCTTTTACAAATTCAAAATCTTTAACACTCAAGATTTAGACCAAAATTAACCCAGCTATAAACTTCAAACATTGACAAAATTTAATAACTAGTTTTGAGAACAGGTTCCAAACAGCACACTCCCACCTCCCTACCCGAACTTAGTCGAAAAGATATCATTACTACTCATACCCCACTTTGTTGTACTAAAAAATAACGAATTTTGCTTTAATACACGATCTAGTTGTTTCTAACTTTTTTTCTCTGGCTACAAGTCCTACAGTTGTAATGCTGTGGAAGGAAGAAAATCCATCCAAGATTGACTTTGGTCTTTCTTTTGGAAGGATACAAAATAGACAAGCATTGACCCCTTAGATCAATCAAAATTGACTTTGGTCACTTCAGTAAAACATGAAAAGAATGGCACTTTCTCACACATCCATCCTATTTGGATTTTGATCCTATCTAAAGTTCATATACATATAATATATATATATTATTTGACGAAAAAAGATCATAGGATCAGATTCAACAACCAGACAATCAATCAATCTTATCATTGCATGCTTTTCTTCAACAAAACAAATGCCAAAAGAATAATATAGTTTATTTATTTGAAATCCCATCCAATGATTAATTAATTTCAGGTTAAACACAACTAATGAGAGGATCAGAGGGGCTGCGTTTGTCATATAAAGTCGGGGCATGATTTATCCTGGACCCTTCTGTTTTCGTTCTTTAATTATATTTTGTTTGAATCAATTGATGACGAGTGCATCTCTGAAAATTCAGAATCTGGGTCCGACCTAAAATTTGGCATTTAATTCCCAGAGAGGAGGACCAGAAGGAAAGAACAGTCACTGATTCCAAATAGGATTTACTTCATCAATGAGGAAACTAAGAGTAGATGATGATGATGATGAATTCTAATGGGAAACAGAGTGACTACTAATCTCTAGGCTTTGGACATCTTGATGAAGTTAAATTATGAGAGAAAATGGTAAATTAGGAAACAGATGAAGTGTAATAAACAGGCACAAACTAGAATTTCCAAAGATGAGAAAAATAGTACCTCGTTCTGCATCTCATCTAGTTGCTGCTATCGCTGTTACTGTGGTTGTTGTTGTTGTTGTTGTTGTTATTGTTGCTGCTGCTACCATGATGATTACCAGCAGCCACAACTCTTCTCCCATGCTTGAGCTGCGAGATTTCCAGCTGCGTCTTCATGAAGAATTGCATTCTTTGCAGTTCCAGATCCTTGGCAAATTTCATCCTCTGCTTCTCCATTACTACCACTTGCTGCAGCTTCGAACTCTCTGCTTGTTCATACGCCTCACCAAATTTCAGAATTGCTTGTGTTAATTCACTCACTGCATTTACCCATCCCTTTTCTCTCGATCCGTTCTTTCCCTTTTCAGTTTTCCCCACCTGAGCCAGTTTCGGATTCACCACCTCCTTCTGAACCCTAACATTTTTGCTCTGAACTTTCTTTTGCCGGTAACTATCACTGGAAGTTGGGGATGTTTCTCTGTCGGAGCCTGAGGAATCGGAATCTGTAGTACGAGGCCGCTTGTGGTACTGGATCTTCTGAGCTTTTGGCCCCTTCTGTTGCTGTTGTTGACTGTGATTATGGTTCTGCTGAGCCTGGTACGGATTCACCGGTCGATTCACTACCGGAATTCCTAGAGGAACTTTCTGGTTCGGCTGCAGAGGCGGATTTACACCGGCGATAGAAACAGAATTCTTCGAAGCCGCCGGACCGATCAATAGATCCAATCTATCATAAAATGGCCACTTACTGGGGCCTCCTCCAGCAGTAAGCTTAGCCTTCTCAGTCTTATACTTCTTCTTGACCGTATCTATCCGATTCTTGCACTGAATGTCGGTCCTTGGTATCTTGGTATAATCCTCTCTACTACTCACAATGTCAGCCACCTCTTTCCAATGCTTCTGCTTCAAATTCCCTCTACTCAGTTCCAAATACCTCTCTCCCCAAGCATCAATCAGCACCGACGTCGCGCCTTCGCTCCAGCAATCCTCTCTTCCGCCTCCGCCGCCGCCGCCGCCCTTAGACTGCTGAATCGGCAGCGCCAAGGTTATCGTATTTAGAGCAGATGGCGGAGGAGGAGGCGCCGCCGCCGCAACCGTCACGGTAATCCGGCCGTTAGAGATCGGAGAAGCCGGAGATCCACTCCCTGGCGACGGAAAGGACTGAATCTCATCGTCTTCTTTCATGGAATCCGGTCCAATCTTGAACAAAAGATTGCCGATCCCAAAATGTTGCGCACCGATCTGGCTAGTAGATGGATATAACAAGATATTGGTTCACCGGCGCATGCGAATCGGTCCGGTACCGTCATGAGCAGGAAGTGTGCCGCGATCTGAAATGCGAAGGTCCCCCTATTCGAGAGAGGGAGAGAGAAACAAAGGGCGTTAGGGTTTGGGAATAGGGATTGAGGTTGACCGGAGAAAATGGAATAAATTCTTCAAGAAAAAATGGGGCGTTTAATTTGGTTGACGGAAAGAACAGAGGAGCGGGAACTGACGGCGTCGGTGAGGGAGTAAATGGGGTGGAGGAGACACGTGGCGGTAAAGTACCGAGGGATAGATACATGGCGGGAGGTGATTGGTGGGTTTTTGTACTCGGAGTGACCGTGATGACGCTCCCGGTAAAGCCTTGCATCGCTGTTTTTTTGTGGTACGGTTTTTAATGTCTGTCTAATTACAATTTTACCCTCCCCATCTGCTCACCAACACCAGATAGATTTTTTTTTTTTTTTTTTTTTTTTTTTAGTTTAAAAGACAAAGTTTATATTTATAATTAAACCATTAGACACCAAATTAAAAAAATATCATAAATCAATTATATATATTAAAAATTATAAGAGTTTTCTGTATCTTAATTTATTAGGAGACAATGAAATTGAAAAGAGATTACTGACACTTTTAAAAACTCTGTAGTACATAACTCTAGATGTATTTATGGTAGAGTTGGTCTTTAAAATATCTAAAAAAAATTAGTTATTTTTACAATTATTAGGATATAAAGTTCATAACTAACATAAAAGGAACACTCACAGGTTAAGATCCTGATGGCTATGGAAGAGAAGATTGGAGTGTCCGTCCGAGAAGGTGGAGCTGAGGGCACCGCCGATCTGATCGAGAAACTCAAGGCAACCTCTGCAAGTTAAACCAAACAGAAACATATCCATTCACACCTTCAAATCCCAATAATTTTGCATTTCAGTTTGTTATGCCTTTGTTCATCTTTAACTCAAGCAGTTGTTTGTGGTTCAAAACTAATTCAAAGCCTGAAGAGTGAAGACCAAAGAAAGAAGAATTGCAATCTGAATGAAGTAAAATATTATGCATAATTCATAAGTAGTTATTTGGCTGCTTCCCGTTCAATGATCGAAGCCATAAGACTGTGCTAATTGAGATCCTGCAACATATGAAACTGGAAACACTAAACGTTGATCTTCTACGGATTCCATAATGATTCACAAAAGATAGAGCAGTTTCGATGCACTTTGATATCTCCATCAACAGAGGAAATCTACAGGATCTCAAAGAAACAGAACTTTTCTTCTCAAGATAGAAACAGATTTTATTATTCATGTTCCTTACAGAAACTAGAAGGAAGGAATTCATTAACTCAAAGATTAATAAGCCTCCTAAAGACTAATTACTTTACTTCTAAAAAGCAGTTTGCAAGCATTTTTCCTTTCAATCGATTGAAACCTTATCATTTTAAATCGTATTTCGATCAAGATAAATAAATGATGCATCTGAACGGACGATTGGTGAATAAAGAAACTAAATGTTTAATTCATTACTTCTAACCGTCTTGTTCCAATTCAGCCGATCTTTTCCATGGGAATCTCGTCAGATCACCTTCAGGCGTCACCGCTACAGGAAATAAGAGAAACAAATTACACATACAACAAACTGGTCAAATGTCCGAATAAATTTCATTCCACCAGCAGCGTTATTGCTTCAGTTTTCCGGAAAACACAGTCTTAGCAGGAGGTTTAAAAATTTCAGAATACGCATAGATTTAACAGCAAGTATACAAAAAAATAAACGATCAATCAAATAGATTCAAAAACAGAAAAGCTCACGAGTGAAAGGAGGTTATTCCCGCGGGAAAATCAATCATCCTTCCATTACGATCATCCGAGAAGCTCCAGAAAATCGGAGTTACTCCTGAGAATGAAGATGCTCCGAGTTACAGGAATGTCACCGAAAATCTTAACCAGAGGCGATTCCGACACCGAAAAGGAATCATGCTTGCGAAGCATTCCGAAGCCGGTGTCTGACATAGGGCCTGCAAGCGTTCCGTCCCATAGCTTGTGAAGAACAGCAGTCATGATTTCCTCTGCAACAAGAAATCAGAACGCGCAACCAAACAATTATATAAAATTCACTTATTACAAGAGAATAAAAGCGAAGAACATGAAATTAAAATTATGGCTAAGAATAAGCCAATTATTTTAAAAAATAATATATATATATATATATATATTGGTGAAGTTTGGAGTTTTGATGAATTACAAATTTGGGCTTCCAAAATATTTCTGAGGCCCATTAACATTTGAACGGGCTCTAGTTTGCAAGAAAGGCCCAAACGAGGCCCACGAACATAGTTTTAATATTAGGGTTTAAATTATTATCAAACCTCAAATTTTTAATTTCACATAATTAAATTATAAAATAATTATAATGTTTCTATTAATAAATTTGAAAATCACATTAAAAAATTGTGAGGAAGTCAAATTATTATCAAACTCATCTGTAATTTTTAAAAATTATCCATTATTTTTTAAATTCAGCTAAAAATTTAAATGTATTTTTAAAAAGAAAATAAACGTTTGTAAAATAATAATAATAATAATAATAATGAAGAAAATCATAATTTTTATAATAAAAAATAAAAAATAAAAGTGATAAAAGTTGGATTTGGACATTTTTTTTATTGGATTGCATTTTTTTAAAAATTGAAAAGAATTGGACCGATTCACAAACTACAATCTTTTTATTCGACCAACTAAAAAATAAGATTACAGTCCCACAAAACTCCAACCCAACTCAGATTATTGTGAAATTTAATATATATACATATATATATATATTGTTATAGACGCACGGTTACTTATAAATATTTGATATTTAATTTTATGAAATTGTAATTATTAAACAATAACAAAAAAAATACAACTCAATCGAAAATTTAGGTCAGATTGAATTGTGAATTCTTTTCGTATTACTCGGGTCATCGATGCAGTCAACTCAAAATCTCAAGTAATTTGAATTGGGTTCGGATAGATTTAGAATTATTATAAAATGAAACTACGTCCATATCCACCTAAAAAAAAGTTCTTAAAGTAGATAAGACGAGGACACAACGACGACCACACCCAGTAATTAAAAAAAAAAAAAAAAAAAAAAAAGATTTGTTCAAGTTGCAATTTGATTATTAAGAACTTTCCTCAACTTGTCCACTTCTGGAAGGATTTTGTTTGTCCCCAACTTGTCATCATCCCTATTCTTCAATAACCCCTAAATACAGAAATATAACCCACTTGCTCTTCTAATTATTTCTTTAATTTCCCAAAAAATATATACATATATATATATTTCTTTTTTTACGATAGAGACGTTTTATAGATCTAATTTAATTATTCAGGTCCTAAGGTTTTTCAACCGAAATAACCTTCGAACTTAATTCAATCGAAATTTTTTTAGATTTTGTTGGTTCAGATTATTTATTTCATTTTTTTTTTAATAAAATCATAAGGATAGTTAAAGCAAATATTCTACTAAAATTTACGACTCAATTTCAACCTATATTTTTTTTAAATTATTCGTAAAAAATTATTGAGAATAAATAATTATAAAATAAAATAAATAAATGATCCATAACTTAATTATCGAGTTTGAAATATTTATTAGATAATTGGAAGTTTATTTTGAATTTAATTTTAAGAAACGTTTTTATGAATGAATGAGGACATTTTTAAAAGGTGGTGGATAAAATTGTAATTTCACTATTTAAAATTTAATAAATGCAGTTTAAGTTCGTTTGCAAGTTGCAGGGAGCGGTGGGCCCCACTATGTTTCAAACTCAAAAAGTAATGTGGGCCACCACAGCTTTGGCTGCGCCAATCCATCGTCAACCAGACGGGCTTTTCATTTTTTCTCTTTTGAAATTTAATAATGTGGGGTCCATACCCACGTGCTTCTACATGAAATGCCAATTTTACCCCTACAACATCTCAAAACCACAAAACTGCCACCTTAAAACGTGCGCATCTTGAAAACATTATAATAATAATAATTTTTTTTTTTTGTGAAATTCTAATGATTTATGACGTTAATAAAATTTTGGAGATAAAAATAAAAGTTCTAAAATGAAATTAAATGTAAGTTTACAATTACATAAAAAGGAAATATAAATATTAAAAAAAAAAAACAGTAAATATGACGATTACGTCATCGTCATATCATTGTCCCGCCCATGTTGTTGCCTTTTGGCTTCGGCAACGACACTAGATTTTACCATCAGCGCCGCTTCGCTGATTCAAAACGACAACTTCCTATGTCGTCTTCCTTCGCCGTGTTTTTTCTTCTTCTACCGTTTCCTCCGCCAATTCTTGCCCTTGTTGCCGCCGCCGCCGCCGCCTCCTCCACTCTGAATTTTAATAATTTAGAGGAAATTAAGAAAGGTTTTATGAGAATAATTATAATCTAGAGTACTACTAACCCCCATCGAGAAGCTTTGGAATGAGTTCACGTTGTTCATATCCGACGAGTTTCGCTTGTTGCCGGAACTGGAACATTCGGAGTACGACGAGGACGATGAGGACGAGAAATATCTTGTCGGTGAATTCGGTCCCAAACCGTCCTCCTCCTTGTCATCGTCGAACATTTCTTGGAATAGTTCTTGCAGTTTCTCGAAGCTTTCTTCTCCGTTTTCCTATCGTTTTAATTTTGCCCAATAAAATCATTATAATTCTAATTTCTAACATCGTATTAGAATTATGCATTTAACTTAGCCATGTCAATATAATCATTATAATTCTAATTTCTAACATCGTATTAAAATTATGCCTTTAACTTAGCCATGTCAATATAATTAAGTGTGAAACAAAAAGTGTACTTTGTTTGAAAGCTCGAGAAGCTGTATAGTGTACTTTGTTCACGACCCATTTCCCATCTCTCTTACTTGTGTCTCTCTTCTCATATTGATGTTAACGGACCCGAGCAAAGACAGAGACCTTTTACCGTTTACGTCCCTGTCTCTATCTCCTTATGTGAAATCATACTCTTTTATGATTATCAGTATAAACGAGAATTCTATCTCATTTACAATGGATCCCGATGAGCTACCAGAAGTCAAATTGACGTCTCTAGAATCAAAATTTGCTATAGAAAGAGGAAGGGGCTTACGCTAGGCTTGGCTTGGTCCATCATGGCAACCATTTCGGTCAAGAAGTCACCCATATCCTGCAAATGAAAGTGAACCAAACAGAGTCTTAACATTTGAGGGATGATGGCCCCACCAATTTCCCTGACCCAAATTCAACGCTTCATTAGTTTCTACACTAATTTTGTACTATGAACCAAACCCAAATTTAATTTTAATCAAATAAATAACCGAAGGAGCACCGTAGTTAAGCTGTGGAGGAGCTTACGTTATCATCATCATCACTGTCATAAACTCCAACGTCGTACAACAGCCGCTTGTTCGCGTCCGATAAAACTGTACAAAATCAATGCCTCGTAATAACAAAAATAAAACGACAACTATTATTAAATAAATAAAAGAAAATTAGTGAAATTACCAGAATAGGCTTGCTGTATAGCTTGGAATTTCTTCTTAGCTTCTTCCACGAACTTCGAATCTCTCAACGCCGAACACCGATCCGGATGCCATATCTAACACCGAACCAAACGAAAACCTAAAAAAAAAACTGATGGATCAAAGAATGAGAAGCTTAATTACTTACCATAGCAAGTTTCTTATACGCATTCCGAAGCTCCGCTTCGGTGCATTCCTTCTTCAGCCCCAAAACGGCATACAGATCGTCGTTTTTGTGATTCTCACCAGCCATATCTCTTCCTTCAAAACAGAGCTCAGGTTGGTTCGGTTTACAGAAATCCAAACCTGTTAAACGACGAATCGGAACGATCATTCATGGTGATGGCGGAGAACGACATGTCGAAATCGTAGCTCTCAGGAGAAGAATCGTAGGCGATGAAAGGCCATTGGCTCAGAGGCTCAGCTCAAGAACACTCCAGAACCATGGCCCTTTTATAGTTTTTTTTTTTTTTTTTTTTAAAAAAAAAATGTTTTTTGGGAATTAAATAATTAGAATGTGTGAAATATTGGGGTTTAGAGGAAGGGGGGATAAGGTGGAGATGTGCGGCTGAGATTGAATCTGAGAGTTGGATATTTTTATTTGTATGAATTAAATGTCTCCAGAAACTTCTGTTTTTACTGCGAAAAGGTCGCGTATTATTTATTTAATTATTTAATTTAAGGCATTAGTCCCAGTTGTGAATGCGATGGCTAATATAAGGAAGCCGCTTCGTGGGTCCCACTTGCAATTTGCCTCCGGGTTTTAGCTTTCGGTTAATCAACTTGCCACTTTACCATACAATAAAATAATTAAATAAATAAATGGAACCTATCCATTTAAAATAAAATATAATAATTACATATAAATTTTTAAGCTAAATAATTAAATAATTATTGTTCGAGTATTTTATTTTTAATAAAAGTAAAATATTAATTTTTAATATAAAAAGAAATGGGAAAAAATGGAAATGGCGTTGTGGCGGTGAGCAGGACAAAAATAATATCTGAAAAGGAGAATAATGATATATATATATATATATATATATATTTGGCAATGTTCGTGAAACAGCATTCCAGAAATAGGGGACGGGTTTTTATTTTTATTTAATTTTAAAAAATAAAATTTAATTGAGAGAAGGAAAGGCCCAAAAAATGAGTCCAAAAGTAGAGGAAGAAGAAAGAAGAAGAAGTTGAGAGTCAGAAGAGAACCAAAAGTGGTCCATTTTATTAATGGTCTAATTTTGTAAGCCCACGTGAATTCACGTTCCAATGTCCTCCAACTCACGTGCCCATTACTTTTCTACTCTTTTTTATCCATAAATTTTAAATTTTATACTTTTTCTCAAACAAACTATGTTTAATTTGAGATAATAATTAAAATCTTATTTTTAAACTAGTTTTTAAGTTATTGTAATATATTTTTAAAACATTATTACATTTTACTTTTATAATTTTTTTAAAAATATATTACCGTCGATACAAAAACTAACTATTCACCCCTCGTAAATTATTCATATATGTTTTATCGTTATTTTGAAAGTCATGAGTATTTTTAAAATCTCTTACCAACCGTAAATATATTTTTTAATTTTTTTATTAATTTAAAGATAT